CGTAAAGATTTACACCCTTGGAAACCCTGTACAGGGTCGCTATGGGTCGGAACCGACTCGATGGCACTTAACAACAACAACAACAACATAATTTTTTGAAGGGCTTACACCTCAATATAAAGAAAACAAAAATTCTCACAACAGGAGCAATAAGCAACATCATGATAAATGGAGAAAATATTAAAGCTGTTAAGGATAACATTTTACTTGGATTCATAGTCAATGCCCATGGAAGCGGGTGTCAAGAAATCAAATGATGATTGCATGGGGCAAATCTGCTTCAACAGACCTCTTTAAAATATTAAAAAGGCAAAGATGTCATGTTGAGTACTAAGGTGCACCTGACCCAATCCAAGATGTTTCAATAGTCTTGTATGCATGGGAAAGACGAAGGAAGAAGAGTTGATATTTTTGAGTTATGATGTTGGTGGAGAATAGTGAATATCCCGTGGGCTACGTGGAGAAAATATAGCCATCTCTCTTGGAAGAAGAACAGCCAGAATGCTTCTTAGATGGGAGGATGATGAGACTACTTTGGATGGTGTTTGTTTTGTTGTTTTGTGCCGTGGAGTCGGTTCCGACTCATAGTGACCCTGTACAGGGTTTCCGAGGCTGTTAAGTCTTTACGGGAGCAGAACGCCTCATCCCGCGAAACAGCTGGTAGTTTCGAACTGCTGACCTTGAGGTTCGCAGTCCGATTTGTAACCATTACTTTAACAGAGCTCCTTTGGATGGTGTTAGAAGGGACCTTTTTCTGGAGAAGGACCAATCTTGGTAGAGGGTCATCGATAAAGATGAAACTCCTCACAGAGAATTGATTCAGTGGCTACAACAATGGACACAAATACAGCAAAAATTGTGAAGATGGCGCAATGTTTCGTTCTGTTGTATGTAGGGCCAGTAGGAGTGGGGACACGCTAGATTGGACCTACCAACAATAGTTGTTGTTGGTGTTAAGTGCCGTCAAGTCGGTTCCGACCCATAGACACCCTGTACAGGGTTTCCTAAGGTATAAATCTTTACAGGAGTAGAAAGACTTATTTTTCTCCCGTGGAGCGGCTGGTAGTTTCGAACCGCTGACCTTAAAGTTCGCAGCTAGATTCGTAACCACTACGCTACAATAGTAGCGCATCTTAATACGTGTTTGTTGAAATGATGGTGCAGTGGGCCATGCAGTCTCCTCAGTGGTTTCGGGTCTCAGAACATTAACTTTGGCTCAGATTCAATGGCGAGCTTTCCCAAACCCGTACTTGACCATCACCCGACTCGAGACTACAGCACCCACAAAGCCTTGCGGCCACGCTTCCGTGATTGGCTGAGTCTCTGGTAGTAGCCAATAGGATGTGGTTTTGTTGGTGTATGCCGGCCAAGACAACTGAGGCGGCAGCAACGAGTGCTGCAAAGTGTGGGGCTTGAGAGTTTAATCCGGCGTCTACCCGTTTTTCTGGTGCCAGGTCTTGTTGCCACTGCCTCCTCCCACCATGGGGAGCGCCGAGAGCAGCGAGGGTCGCAGGGTGTCCTTCGGAATGGATGAAGAGGAGCGGGTCCGGGTGCTGCAGGGCATCCGGGTGAGCGGTGCTGCTGGCGGTGATAGGAGCGAGCGCGACCTGGGTTGGGGCGGTGTATGGAGGGCGACCGGGGACGGGTCTCCAGAAAGGGTGGCTTGGCACTACTCCCAAGTGAGCACTGTATTGGAATCCCAAGGTGAACACTACACTGGCTTCAGGGCGGGCATGGAGAAGAAGGCCACTATGATGCTAGGGACCTTGGATTACGACATACCAGCGCCGGTGGCTTACTTTTTATGTTTAATTTGCACTCTTTTTCCTGCTCACCAGTCCACATGCCCGGTACTTCTGCTTGTGTGCTTTGAATCGTGGACAAGTGCAACAGCCTCTTTATAGGGGTCTTTGAGCCCCCACTCTTGCCCCGACAGTCCCTTCTTCAGTCCCTTTTTCATACAGCAGTTAAAGCCCCCCCCCACTTAAAAAAAAAAAAAAAAGCTTTTTATTGTGACGTTTTACAGATAGGGTCATCAGTTTTACATTGAACAAATCATACACATGTTTTCATCTCAGTCATTGCAATCTCCATGTAAAAAAAGTTATCCCACTTCCTCCCTGTGGTTCATATTTTCATTCCACTCTCCTTCCCATCCCTTCTCAACTTTGCCATTAGGTAAATATTGCTCTTTTGTTCTTGAGTGACTGGTCATTCCACCGTGAGCATATTTTACTAATGTTGACACCACCCCCTCCCCACCCCACCCCTCCGTATACCTGTCTACTGCTTGGCCAAGAGGGTGAGTTCTTTTCCAAACCTAAAGGATGATACAGGGCCATAGTCTTGAGTTCCTTCTGACCAGTAAACCTGGTCTTCTATTTTAAAATTTCGAGTTCATTTTCTCCCATTCCATGTGGGACTTTCTAATGTGATCCCTTTCAGAACAGTTGCTAGTGGTATCCGGGCACCATCTCACTCTTTGGTTTGAGAGTTGTAACTGATGTTCATCTGCTGCATTGGTTCTTTGGACTAATTGATTCCAAGCATCTTCAGTTTCCATCATTTTTGTTTCTACTGTACATGGAGAGACTACTGCACCATAGATAGCCACTCATGGGCCTTAAGATCCTAGATGCTACTCGCCAAAGCAGGATATAGAACATAGTCTTTGTGGACTATGTTATCAAAGGGGCACTTTGAAATGTGTAAATCAGATCATATATTCTTCCCCTTGCTTAAAATTCTCCTTTGGGTTCCTAGCCCTTTAAGACAGATGAAGAGGAAACACTTCACCTTACCTTGCTTTTAGAAGTTACCTGCTGACTTCTCTGACCGTATCTCATGCCAGTTCCCCTGCCTTCTATCCTATTGTTCACTAGCTTCATGGACTTTGTTCTTCCTGGAAGGTGGCAGCTTGCTTCAAGCACAGTTCCCTAGCATTTCTTGTATAAGGTTCTTTCTTGCCATTGTAGTCATAGATCAAGTATCTCAGAGAATGTTTACCTGACCACTCTATCTAAAATAGTTTCCTACCCCCAAGACCACACATTTGTTATTTTCATAGTGTGCATCACAATTCAAAATAGCTGTTGATAGTTTATCTGTCTCCAGTTGTTAAGTGCTGTTAGGTCAGTTCTGTGTAGGGTTTCTGAAGAGCACCTGGTAGGGTTGAACTGCCAACCTTGTGGTTCGCAGTCCTGTGCTGATCTTACAGCACTACACTAGGAGTCCCATCTGTCTTGAGGCCAAGATTCTTATCTGATTCACTACTCTATCTTAAGGACCTAGAATAATAAAAGCAGCTTACATTTGAGTACACAGTGATGACCATGCTTTATTATATGATGGTGAGTCAAAAATTATCTGTACTCTGGTTGTAGAGTTTATTTTAATCAATTTTTAGAAAAGACAGACAGATACATCATTTTTCAACATCTCTTTGCTTTTCAATTCACTTTGTTCATCTGTCAACAAGCTTTTGTATTCCCTTGTTAAAAAATGTTTTTGGCTGAGCTGTAAGCCATGAATGCACTGCTTTCTTCACTTCTTCATTCAGAGGTGAGTCTTTGTTCTCGAAGGGCTGATTTCAGGGGACCAAATAGGTGTAAGTCTAATGGAGCAAGATCACGACTATAGGGAGGATGCTTGAACCTCTCAAAATGAAGTTTTTGCAGAGTGTCAACAGTGTGGGCAGAGGTGTGTGGACGTGCATTGTGATTCAAGATCACAACTCCCTTGGATAGCTGTTCTCTGCGTTTAATTTGAAGTTTAGGCTTCAGTTCTTCAGTGAGCATCTCACTGTAAGGAGCACTATTGTTAAACCTTTTTCCTGATAGTGTTCCAATGCTGACTCTTAAAAATTCCGGAAAACTATAAGCACCAATTTTCCAGCTGATGGTTGACTTTTTTTTTTTTTTTTT